GGGGATGGAGAAGGGGCAGTGGGTTGGGCACACCCAGCAATGCTTAGGGCTTACTCCTGGTTCTGTCTTCAAGGAATACTCCTGGTGGTACTTGAGGGACCATATGCTATGCTAGATATTGAGCCAGGGTTAGATATATGTAAGGCGAGCATCTTAACTCTCTGGCCCAAGGATGGAAATTTTTGTTTTATTAGTATTGTTTTGTTATATAATAAGAATATTTTTTTAAAAAATAAGGTGGATATTTGCATGCCAATGTCACTGCAGCATTATTCACAAAGCTAAAAATTAGAAAGATGCTCATCAACAGATGGGTGGAGAAACAGAATATGTGCACACAATGAAATATTACTTATCCTTTAAAAGGAAGAAATTATGTTACATGCAATAACATAAATACATTGGGCTTAAGAAGATAAACCAGATGCAAAAAGACAATATTGCACAATTCTTCTTATTTGAGCTGGAGCGATAGCACAGTGGGTAGGGCGTTCGCCTTACAAGCGGCCAACATGGCCGACCCGAGTTCGATTCTTCCGCCCCTCTCGGAGAGCCCGGCAAGCTACCGGGAGTATTTGATATGCCAGACACAGTAACAACAAAGTCTCCAATGGAGACGTTACTGGGCCCGCTCGAGCAAATCGACGATCAACGGGAGGGCCTTTACCTTTACCTTCTTATTTGAGAGACTTAGAGTAGTCAACACCATGGAAATAGAAAGTTAAAAATGGTAGTTGCCAAGGGCTCAGGGAAGGGAGAAATGAAGAGTTACTGCTTAATGGGTTCTAGAGTTCCAGCTAGGAATAATAAAAAAAATTCTTGAGGTGATGGTGGTGTTGGAGGCCACAACAATATAAACATACTCAATGCACTTGAAAACTGCTTAAATAGCAACTTTATATTTTCATCAAATTTAAAATGTGAAAGCAGTATAAAAATATAGACAATATGGAGCTGGAGCAGTAGTACAGCAGGTAGGGCATTTGCCTTGCATGCAGCCAAACCAGGTTTAATTTCCAGAATCCCATATGGTCCCCTAATTATTGCCAAGAATAATTCCTGAGTACAGAGCCAGGCATATCTCCTGAGCACTGAAGGGTGTGCCCCCCTGGTCCATGGAAAGAGAAGGGCTAAAGTGAAGCCCCCTCTGTAGTCAGGATCTTCAATAGATTGTTCCCTCTGTAACTGAACCATTAAAAAAAAAAACCTTTGGGGAAGCAGCAAAGAAACCATTCACAGACAGTGAGAAAGAAAAGTCACACATGAGTAATTAAAACCTAAGCCTGTGCTGCAGATGGGTGTGGGGTCTAAATTTATACCACTTATGGAGAATAGAAACACTAAACTGTAAATTTAGCATATATAAGAAGCCCAAGATTAGGGAACACTCAGACCCAGTAGAAACACAAGATCAGTCTCTATAAGAACATTTTCCCAGAAAGGTGGGGATGGGATGGGTTTGACCAAGATGAGTCCACAATGAAAAGTAAAGAAGCATTTTATACGTGTGTGCGCACGCACACACACACACACACACACACACACACACACACACATACCACATACAGAATTAACACCCTCAAAGAGCAGAGACAGCACAGCGGTCTAAAAGTGACAGCACAATGTATGTTTTTAAGTGGTTAAAGAGGGCCATAGCAATACAGTGGGTAAGGCATTTGCCTTGTATGCAGACAACCTGAGTTTGATCCCTGACATCTCATGTGGTTCCCTTAGCAATGCCAGAAGTAATTCCTGAGTGAAGAGCCAAGAGTAACCCTTGAGCACCACACCCAGTGGTGAAAATGGCAAAAAAGCAAGTGACAAAGGAAATCAAAGATCAGGGATTAGAACAATAGTACAGTGGGTAGGGGCACTTACTTTGCATGCACCCAACCTTGGTTCAATTCTTGACATTCCCATATGGTCCCCAAAGACTGCCAGGAATAAATCCTGAGTGCAGAGCCAGAGTAAAACTGAGCATGGTTGGGCGTGACCCCAAAAGAAAAAAACACAAATAAAAGATTGAACAAAATTCATCGTTAAGGTTTCAGAAGAAGATGATCTGCTCAAGAATTGTAAAGCAAGGGGGCTGGAGCCATAGTACAGTGGGTAGGGTATATGCCTTGCACATGGCCGACCCGGGTTCGATTGCCAGTGTCCCGTATGGTCCCCTGAGCACTGCCAGGAGTAAGTCCTGAGTGCACAGCCAGGAGTAACCCCTGAGCATCACTGGATGTGAACCAAAAACAAAAACAAAAACAAACAAACAAAAAAGAATTGTAGAACAGGGAAAGTCTTTGGACCATCCATGGAGGAGGTATGAGGAGGCCACCAAAATCTAAGCCTGGAGTCCAGGTACAGGATTAGCTAGTAGTACTGGCCAGGTTGGGAAGGTATCTAGAGAGAGCCTGGAAGGCAGAGGCAGGAACCGGGATGTGGACAGGAGGTGAGCACCATCTGTCCCCCCCCCCCCCCCCCCCCCCCGTGGAGACTGTTTTTCCAGGAAGCATTTTCAGAACTTCCTCTCCCTAAAATATTCCCCAGGGACTCCCCTCAGGTTGCCGCTGTGCTCCATCTCCCCTGCTCTGCTGAGCACCCTAGAGGGTGACAGTGCCAGACTGCTCCTTACTTCCCCCACATCTCACACAGCCCCCTGTGCTGGCTCCATAAGGGATTGTGGAAATGAATGAAATGAATGTGTGTCTTCTGTCGTGTTGTGGGAATTCACATTATGAATTCACAGAGGAATGGAACTCGGAAGGCGCAGGAAACACGGCTGCTTATCCCTCCCTCCGCCCTCTCGTCGCTCTTCCCCTCCTGCTCTCCGTTCTGTACTGGGAGGAAACTGCCTCGGTTCCTGGACTCAGAAATGCACTGTCCCTGTAACCCACCTCCTGAGAACCTCAGAGGGAGTGCCAGAGTGGTGTTCAGGCAGGGTCTCCCCTCCCCGCTTTGCTCCCTGGATCTGCTTTACAAAGAATTTCTATTACAGGCTCTTTGCAGGGTGTAGCTCATTGAACCCACACAGCCTTGGGTACTAGCCCCAGGCTGGATGAAAATAGAGGCTCAGCTTGATGCCCCGACTCCCCAATATCTCAAATCCACAGTGAGGCAGAGCAGGGTTCAAATACAAATTGCTTTTGGCTCCAAAGCAATTTCAGCCCCTCCCCTCCGTCTCCCTCTGCTTCCTTCTCCCTAGCCCACCCTCTACCCCACACCTGTCTCCCAGTTCACACTGCTCCCATCCGCCTCCTTATCTCCTACTGCGTCTGAGTCACACAATTATTTGGCAGACAAGTGGGGGTGGGGTGGGAAGGGTGGGAAGAGGGGATGGATGGCCAGGGCGTGGTGAGTACACGCCTGGGTTTGTCTTTTCCTGGCAACCAAGCACTGCCTGTCCTAAGGCAGTGTCCCCCTCCAGAGTTCTTGGGGGAAGGAAGGGGTGGTGAAGGGAAAAAGAAATGGGGTTTCTCTGAAAGGTGGGGCTATGAAATTGTCTCTAGGACTTGTCTCAAACTGAGACCCACTTTGGATGCAGCCCTTCCTGTAACAGTAGCCAGGGGGCACTTCTCTTTGAGACTCAGAGCTCTTGCACCTGCCTTTGCAGGGGCTCAGAAATGTGCCTCACTGTAGTCCACTGTGATGGTATGGTCCACTGTGATGGTGAGACCTGGCTGTTGGACCCAGTCAACTGAGGGTCAAATCATGACACTGCCGTGGAGGACTTTAGGCAAGAAACAGCTTCTCCAAACCTGGGTTCCTCACTGATACGGTAGAACAGCACCCAGGCCTGTTCATTCCTTGGGATGGGCACTTTGATGAGGGGAGGGTCCTGAGCTAAGAAGAACTAGGTGGGGGTATAAAAAACAAAAAAGCATATGCTATAGGCAAGATTGCTACCAAGATGGCCCAGTTCCAGATGCTCATTCCTTCCAGTTCCAGGACTGGTTCACTAAATACCTTTTAACAGAATGGCTAAGATCATGACTGAGTAATGATGGGGCCAGGAGAGGAAGGGGGAAAGGAAATAAGGAAAATAAAAAGATGCAATATATGGATAGGGAGAAGGGACAGGAACAAATTAGCCTCAGGACAACAGGACCAGAAGTCAACCCCCTGGATACTTTCAGGGCTCCCTCCTCTGCTCCTCACTCTGGTGTGATCTTAACTATATACAGCCCCTTTCAGTTTCCCCACATGTCATTTCAGATCTATGTCCTATCAGTTACACCCTTCACTTTTAGCAAGCCTGGCTCCATAGCACCAATGGAAATATGGACCCTTCCTTGAGTTCCTCTCTCCTGCCTCCTCCAGAAAGCCCTGCCTCTCCTTTCTGGGCCCAGCAACACCAAACTTAATCTGATCCCTAAACATCTTTACTAATACTCTATCATACATCCCAAGACAGAGGTCACAGTGAAATCACCTTTAATCCCATCTACCAAACACTTACACCTCGCAGATTCCAACAAACATTCTCTTCTGTGAATGTGAAACAGAGGTCACATGGATAGACAGAAGGTTGCCTGCTTTGTCTGCTTAGTAAACCCTGGGTCAAAACTGCCCTCCACATATGCTCCCTGGATTAATCTCCAGCCATATTATTCTTCTTTTACAAGTCCACCACAGAAGTTATAATCTCCACTACTGTCCCTCTCCCTATCCATTCTGAAAGATGCCTCCATTGGTCAGTAGCAAACAGCAGAGGCCCATAAATCCAAGGAGCTTGAATTCAGCACCTCCCCTTAGACCATGCTCCTTGACTGGTCTTGCTATGGATAAAGGGAGCTCCACTGAAGTGCTCTGAAATGGTCCACCACAGTAAACCCTACAGAAGTACTCATGCAGGTACACACAGATCGCAGGAGACGTCACAGGTATACAGGCATATAGATGAATATTTATAGATAAACCAAGGCCTTTCCCTACATTTTCAGCACTCCCACCTATTCTGTAACACTTACGTGTACAACCTATTTACTACAGAGTTAGAATCTCACCTTGATGCTCCTCCAGTTTCCCCATGGTCTCAATCTGCTCCACCAGGTCATTTGAATTCCACTGGCTCATTCCAATGAGGATGGCATTCTTCCCTTCAGCCACCTCCTCTGTGGGCACAAGCAGAGAGAGGCATGAGCAGACAGGGCTGTGAACGGACAGCCTTGACAGGAGTTTACATCTGAGGAGGTACTTACGACTTCCTTTGACTTGATGCAAAATTCAATTATAAAAGGTGTCTACAGTTATGGAAAAGTATGAGATAATCAGGAATTTTTTGCTGCAAGAAGTCACTGTTGTTTTGCCCTGCTATATCTCCACATTATTACAAAAGAAAGTAACAAGGAGACAGTGTGAGAGGGCCTGAAAAACAATGAGGGATTTATTTCTGGCACTTAGAACAGTATTTCTTGAAAGGGAGTATGCTTGGGAAGAAGAAACAAAACCTTGACTATTCCTATCAGTTCTTCTTTGATTAAGTTACCAGGCTTCTCTTAGCTTCATCTTTGCTCAGGAAAATGGGACAGTCAAATTCTAACTCAAAGAATTAAGTGAGATAGTAGGAAGGTCTCTGGTACACAAATAAGTTCTCCTAAATAAAAGGTATGGCTATTTCCTCACATAAATGAGGTATCATCAATATTTGTTGAACCAGGATTTGGGTGGGGCAGAGAAGTTATGGAGTAACCAGAGAGAAAATGACTTCTAGCTCTACTAAGCAAACCTCAAACTGTGTGGAAAATCACCGTCCCACTTCCCAACGGTGTGGTCTCCCTTTAACCCCACTCCTCCCACCAACCCTGAGTTCCCTTGCCTTTTCCCAGTAGAATATTTTAGATTATTCTAGAAGGAATAAGTGGACTATATCCCCTAGCCAAACCAAACTCAAGCCTCTCAGTCTCTATAGACCAATAATGTACAACTAATACAGTCTTTTATCCCAGAAAGGAACATTACTCAAGAACAGATCCATTAAAATGGCCCCAATCTCCTCTTTGAAGAGAAAGGCCTTTCTGGTGAAAAGCTGTGTGCCTACTCTCATAGAACAGGCATTAGTGTCTGTGGAGGAGAATCTTCAAGCTCGTGATAATCAAAAATAAAGGGATGAGACTCAGTTCACTGCCAACGAACTTTATAGAGCAGATGGAATCAATATGGTGGGCCTGAAGCTTCAGGAGCTGTCCAGAGTTCTGAATCACTCTCATACTAAATAATACAGACCGCATTTCTGGCTAGGACATCTCCTCCTGCCTTATTTGATTTATTTAACAGTGCTTATCAGCCCTTACCACACATCGAGATGGTTAAAAGTACTTTGCAAATATTAATTTCACTTAATTATAATAACAATACTAAAATGTACTATTATTATCTCCATTTTACAGACAAGGAAAGTGGGGCAAGCAGTAATTCAGTAATATGCCCAAAGTAATTGGTTAGAGCTCAAATACAGTGTAAAGAATCCTTACTAATGGATTTAGTACTGCCCTCCTAATGGTCTTCCACGTCCATCCTGTATAGTTGCCCCTAACCCCAGAAGCACAGTATATTCCATCTGGGAACCAGCTCATACCTCCAGGCAATTCTGTGATCTGAGTAAATCCCTGACTGGATTCCAATCCGTACTTCACTGTTTATGAGCCTCTTCCTATATTGCACACATCCCACATGATATTGTTTCCTTATCTCTAAAATGGGAATAAAGAACTCTGGCTCTACAACTTTTTCTCAGGATAAATAGGTGTGGTGTGGAGTGTGGCAAGAAAGCACACATGTTGCAAAAAATACCAGGCAGTATTACTGTTTGGGAAGCAGGATGGTGAGGAATGAGGTTTAGGGCTCAATTCTGCCATCAGACTCTTTTTTTTTTGTTTTGATAGCAAGTTTATTCATGGGAAAAATTTTTCTTTTTTTAAAAATTTTATTAGTGAAACACCATGAGGTACAGTTGTAGACTTACAAATTTTTGTGCTTGGGTTTCAGTTATACAATGATCGAGTACCCATCCCTCCACCAGTGCCCATTCTCCACCTCCACTAATCCCAGTATCCCTCCCATCCCACCCTGCCTCTGTGGCAGGGCAATCCCTTTTGTTCTCTCTCTCCTTTTGGGTGCTGTGGTTTGCAAAAGAGGCATTGAGAGGCAATCATGTTTGGTCTATAGTCTACTTTCAGCATGCTTCTCCCATCCTAGGAGGATCCTCCCAACACCTTTAATTTGGTGCTCCCTTCTCTATCTGAGCTGTCTTTTCCCCTAGCATGTGTGGCTGGCCTCCAAGCCATGGAGTAAACCTCCTGGTACTTATCTCAGCTATTCTTGGGTGTTAGTCTCCTATTTTGTTACTTTATGTTCCCCAGATGAATGCCATCTTTCTATGCATCAGACTCTTTTTAAAAACCCTCAATACCATATTCTATCTGGATGGTCACTTTAGTTTTATGAGCTTCAATTTCTCAACCTATAGAAGGGTACAATAGATTCCCTATGCCGTACGGTTGTTGTGCAGATCAAATGGAATAATGCAGGTCAAGTGTTCACAGGAATGCCAGTATGTGGTAAGCGCACAGATAAGGATTATAACAATGGAGACGACAGCTCCACCACCAACTCCAGAGCTTACCCCAACATTCACTATCTATTTGTCTAGCCTTACGATATTCCTTCCTGCTCCAGGGTTGGGCATGGCTAGGGTCAGCTTACACCCCACCTTGAGTTCCATTGTTTCCTAGCTGTTGTCCAAGCATTCAGTTGCCCATTGATCCTTCTAGTGGATTCCTAAGTGCCCACTGTATGAGATGTGACCATGACCATCATCCTGTAGGAATCCAATTGTGTGGGGAAACACAGGTGTAAATAACTCTGACTTCTAGGCTCCAGGGCTATGTGTGTACATTCAGCAGGTGCCTGTACATCTCAGTTGTAGAATGTTCTACCATAATATGAGAAGCCACATTCCAGAGTGTGTGAGACTAGCAGAATCCACAGGGTCCTCGTGGGGCTCTGGAAGCTGAGCATGCCTCTTCTACACAGGCCTCATGTCATGTCCTCTTCCATATTTCCTTCCTGCTCTTCATCTGTCTCCCTAGCAAATGCATCTTCTTCTCATAGATTCTCGTGATGTTCTGCGCACACTTCATGTCTGGTCCTGTGCCACTAGCTCTGATATCACTAGTTTGCCACCAGTAGCTCTCTGTCCTTCTTGGTCCTTTTGTTTCTCCATCCCTCTCAGGCTCCCTCTGTCTGCTCAGGCCTTGTGGGGGAGTAGACATGTTTTTCTGGATCTTTCTTATTCCTTTGGTTTCTATTTTTCTAATTTTGTCTTTTCTTCCTTCCCTTTCCCATTTTCGGATTGTAGTGTTGACCTGGAATTACACACACTTAGTTGTGGTTGTTACCAGGGGCCATCAGCTTTAGTTGTGGTGCTTGCACACACAGGGGGCTGGCTGCTAAATACTTGATGGAGCCTGTGATGGAGTCCACGGTCCTGATTTTCCAGCTGCAGAGTAGCAACACAGCAGGCCCAGGGTCACAAAGCCACAGGTTCTAATACAGGCACCCATCTCCGAAGCTCAAGGAAAGAGCCTTTTATTGTATCTAGATGTGTGGACAGAAGGGCAGCAGGAGGTGAAAGTTAAGAAAGTGCCCATGTTACTATAGAAACAGCACCTATGTGACAAGGCTTGGCATGTCAGATGACATCCCAGATCAACTCATCTGAAGCCCCCAAGCCCCCACTGCACCCATTCAGGCACTGCCTCCCACAGGCATCTTCATTTCCTCTCTTGTAAACATCAAGGAGTGAATGGTCAGCCTCACATGGTAGTTCACAATGATGAACTTCCTAAGATGCTATGATCCATTTTCTAAAATGGTTGAACATTGTAGACCCCCTCTGGCAGAGTCTAAAAGTTCCAGTTCCTTTGTATCCCAGTCAGTGTGAATTGTTTATTCTAGTAGGCATATATGTGGTAGGATCTTATTGAGGTTTTAATTTGCATCTGTCTATTGACTAATGGATTCTTTTCACCATTAACCATTCATTGGGTACTCTACGGTGGGGTTTCTGTTTCTATGTTATTTTATTTGTGATGCATCAATACACAAGTGGCAATACAGCCTTGTTGTTTTCCACTGTCTTTTTACTCAACTGAGGCCCAGGTTGGGGTGTTTTTGCTCCGGGCTCTCCAGCACCTACAGCAGGATCTGTCACTCGAGAAGCAGGTACTTAGTTGTTTGAAGATTAAATGCACAATCTGAATTCCAGCCCTGATTCTGCCTCACTGGAGGTGGTGCCAAACAAATGTCCCAGTTTCTTTAGCCTCAGTTTCTCAGATCTCAACATGGATCGAGGGATTAAATGCAAAGCTCTGTGGGGCATTCTCACTCAGAAGCACTCCAGGCTTGAGGCCTGTCTCCTCTGGCCACCTGGATTCCTCTCACTCACTCTCCAGCTCACAGGACTGCATTTGGTGCTGTGGGTCCCCTTTGACCACATTCATGAGAGAGACAGGAGCTGCCTGGACTCCACTGCAAGCAATGGAGCCTCCAATCTGGGGTACCTACCTCAAGTGCACTACCAGAGCTCCCCAGAGATTCAAGTCTCCCCTCTGCTCCCAAACCAGGAGCCATCAATAAACCCCAGAGCTCGGCCAATGGGCTGGGTCTTATGGAATAAAGGTGGGAGGATGGTCACAATTTTAACAATAAATCAAATGCCAAGTCAGTTAGATACTGTACTTCCGGGCTCCTGTCCCTCCACCCCACCTTGCTGTGATATCTTGGGGGATTTCCATCCATTCTAAGGCATTGAGGATGAAGCCACAAGTTCCTGGGATCTGTTCACGCTGACACCCAGAGGGGCACCTCAGTTGGAGGCTCAGAGGCAGCAGAATGCGGGCCTGCCCGGGTAAGGACCAAGAACACAGCCCAGATGAGGGCCAGAGCTGCTCCTGGGCTGGAGAATAGCTGCAGGGAAGTGCCCACTCGAGGCATGCAACAAACCCAGACACCCTGGCCTGGCCCCCAGCTCTGACTGGCCTGGCTGGCTCGGTGGGACTGGGAGTTGCTCCTGGTAGCAGGGTGAACATGGCTTTGCCTTTCATTGCACTGAGCCTAAGGAGACTGTCCAAGGAGTTGGCAACTATAACAATGTGGGCGGGGGAGTCCCAGAGGGGTACAGATGAGCTGGGAGCTCCAGTAAGGAGTGCTGAGAGGTGGGAGACAGAGGGAGGGGCTGAAGGGCCGGGATCTGTCTGAGAGGAGAACCGAGCAGAAGGAGAGGGAGGAGATGAAGGAGGAGAGAGAAGGTAGAGCCCTGGGAGAAAGGATGGTTGAGGCCAAAAGGACCCCAGGCAGAGGGGTGAAAGGAACAAGAGGGATCCACGAGAGGCGGGTGTTTCCACAGCTGCTGCCAAGGAAGGCAGGTGAGCAGAGCCTTTTGGGCTGGGACTGTCCCATGCCCCCCTAGAGTGGCCCTCCTTACCTGCCAACACAGAGCCCCGATGAGCTACACGCTGATTTTAAATAAAAGTGCTCAAAACATCAAAATATTGAAGCCGGTGTTGTCACACTGTGGGCTCGTTGCTATGGAGAAACCGTCTGGCAGCCACTCCAACCAGAAGCCACCAGGGGACAGGAAGTGAGCCCCAAGTGGGCTGGTTTTTGTTAACATCCAGGAGGGGGTTCTCTGCCTAAACCAAGAATGGGGGAGCTCCAGCTGGGCCGGGGCCTATCTCTAAGTCGACTCCCCTTAGCATCACCTGAACATGCAGTCCCTGTCTCTAGAGGCACAGAGCTATCAGGGAAACTGAGGTCCAGAGAAAGTGAAAGACTTGTCCACCATCACATAACACAACAATGGTGTGGCCAGCGCCACATCCCCCGTGTCTGGCTCTCTCCCAGCACCGTCTGGCGCTCTCTCCACACCCAATTTTGGCAAGCCTGCCAAAGATGCCCGTTGTCTCAGAAGTGAGTCTTGTCCCCAACTAGGGTGACCTTTCAGAATGAAACCCAGTGGCCACATGGCACCTGAGACCCTCTTTGGCCAGGAAGGAGGTGACTGTATCACTCAGTCACTCCCACCCTGTCCAGGACTATGACTGCTCAGGGTCCACTCCCCCATAATTTGGCCAGGCCCCCACTGGTGCCCCAAGGCCCACTGAGCCCAGCTCAGGCAGGTCTGACTGATGTACCCATCCTCTTTGGAGTCCTCTTCTCCATACTGGCAATTCTGCCTGCTCCTGTTGCCCACAAAAAGAGCACACACACCCCTCCCCACTTAGGCCTATTGTGCTAGCCAATAGGGACCCAATGCTGGTACCTGGGGTACAGAACTGATGTCTCACCCACTATTGTCCCACTTCAGGATCCACAATTGTCTTTCTTATTGTTTTCCCAATCTTCAGCAGTTCTCTTCTTGCCCTGCTGTGACCTCCTAGTCACATACCAGGTGACTGGCACCCAACCTCTCCCCTCCCCTTAGGTGTCCTTTCCTCCTGATGCTCATCCTTTCTGCTTCAGAGTCCCCATGCCTTCTGCCTCCCTGGTCTGGAATGTTCTTTCTCCCTCTTCATTCAGACACCCCTGTGCCCTGCAGATCTGAGTACCCTCACCCCTACTCAATAAAACAGGCCACCTGTCATCAACCCATTAACTCGTGGCACTGAGCACTGGCGTTATTCCCCCTTTGTGATGGGCATATCCTCTGTGAAACTGCTGCATCTGCTTGTGATGCCCACTGGCTAGAGCACCACAAGATTGATGTGGGCAGTGGGCAGCCCCTGGGCCCTTACAATACCTGGCACCAATCTGGGAACAGATTCAAAACTCAGCAAACATCTCAAGGAGAGAATGAAAGAAGGCTGATCCCTGGAACCCACAGACTTGTCCATATGAAGTTTGGAACTACACACACTCTCCGAGGAGGCTACTGATCCCCAGTAGAAATCCCCTTCAAGGAGGTTTCTAGGGAAGTCACCCCACTGATGACAGGAGAACGGGACTCACTCACCTCTAGCATCAAAGAATTCATCATCTGAGCTCTCCACAGAGTCACTGAGGACATTTCGAAGGTGCCATGGGGCACCACCACCCGGGGGAGGGCCACCTGCAAAAGGAAAACACATGTTAGCAATACCTGGTACCAGGTTCCTGTTGGGGAGGCCAATCCAGTCCACATAGGACTAGAGACCCACTGGAGGCTGGAGTGATAGCATAGGGGGTAGGGCATTTGCCTTGCATGCTGATGACCTGGGTTCAATTCCCAGTATCCCATATGGTCCCCTAAGCACCGCCAGGAGTAATTCCTGAGCACATGAGCCAGAAGTAACCCCTGCGCATCGTCGGGTATGACCCAAAAAAAAGAATAAAGACCAACAGTAAATGACCTGCATGCCCTGTCCTCTACCCTCTGGTTCTCAGCTGCTCCCACACTTTCTTTAAGGCCCCAACATTTCTCTGGGAGCTAGGCAGCTCATAAAAACCAAGCCAGAGCATGAGGAGATGGCGCCAGGATGATCCAGGATATCAGCAAGCCTGGGCAAGACTTTTTCGATCAATTCACTGATCTCAGCAGTCTTAGCAAGAGTTCACTGCACACACACACAAGTTTTCCAGGGTGTGGTCACGGGGGTCAGAGGTGCCACGGTCTTATGATGTCATACTCCACCTTGAACCTTCCTCCCAGGTCTGCAGGGAGAAGAGGCCAGATACCCCACCCTGTCTCCTGTGCCATACACCTGCCCTGTCCAGTGCTACATACCTGCCCCATTCCAGCACCCCGCACCTGCCCCATCTCCAGTGCCACACACCCCACCCCATCTCCAGCACCACACACCTGCCCCTTCTTCAGTGCCACACTCCTGCCCCATTTTTAGTGTCACACACCCTGCCCCATCTTCAGTGACACACACCTGCTCCGTCATTGTCACTAGTATCTTTGAGGCCATTTTCTTACTTTGTGTGGCCTCAGTTTCTCCATTGATAAACAACCAACGCCACGTGGAGAAGAACAAAAGTAACATGTATTTTGTGCCTGCGTCTCAGAAGGCTCAGCAGATGCAGCTGTTGCTATTATTATTACTGCTATTTACTTGAGACCAAGATGCAAGGGTCTCCAGAGCCCACAGGAGCATGGGCACACGAAGAACACGGTCCCTTGCCCTTAACTCTCTGCTCTAGCCTACCTCCTGCCCTGGGACAGAGGGGAGGAAGGCCAGTGACAGACACTCACCCAGTCCTCTGCAGAAGGCAAACCCTACCACGACACCCCACCCTGCAGTCACACAGTCAGGCCCCCTACTGGGCACTCTGGGGTTCACATGCCACTAGCAGCACCCAGCAGGCACATCCACGAAACCTTCCACATGCTCCCAGGAACACGAAGTACAGGGAATTGCAGAAGGACTAAAAATGGATTTGTCAAAATTCAGATCACGAGAGTGTTACAGGAAAATCAACCTGGTCATTTTCCTGAGGAAACCATGAGAGAAGCACAGAAAGACGGACGCATTCAGCTGACCATCTGGGATTCTGGTGAGATGGAAGAAAGCTTGCCCAAGGTCCATCCACAGCGGGCAGCTGCGATCATGCTCAGCCGTACAAAGAGTTCTTGGCAGGTGTTAGGAAAATGGAATTATTCTCTGTCCTGACATGGAGAGATGCCCATAGAGTATAGTTAGGAGAAATAAATGCAGGTAGTTCCCACAATAGTATGTTCTTCGTGACCCGGATTTTTAAACAGTTGCATATCTGTGTACCCTGACTCTGCAACATAAGTGTTCAGATTTCATGAATGAAGAGCAGCTACGGGATGAGAAGCTGTGTGATGCTGGATAAATCTTTCACCTCTCTGTGCCTCAGTTTCTTCATGTATAAAGTGGGGATAGCTCATACTTGTCTCAGGAAATGTAAACAATAAATAAAGTGTATCCAAATACTGTGTTTTACCACATAATCATCTCACCCCCATGTGTGTTTTTATTGCCAAATGGGCATTTTTTAAAGGATTCAAATAATGGTTGCACCCCACTTTTTTGCAAAATATTATATTGCAAAGTCTGTGATGATTAAGCTGCGAAATACAGTACTTAGCACAATGTCTTGCATATTGCACGTCCTCCCAATAATAATTACATAAATACACTTACAGACACATTAAAATTTCTGCAAGGACACACGCCAAAATGTCACAGAGATAATCTCTGCAGAGAAAAAACCGATGATAAACCGGGGAAAACTCAGCTTTTACACTATACCTATAATTTTAATGACTCTCAATTTTATAAATTCATCCTAATTGATCCATTTTAAGATGTACTTCTTTTTGACACTCTAACATACTTAACACTGGGTCTGTCTCTTGTGATGGCAGGTCATGGCTGGAATCACAGTTTCCTCAGGGCATATAAAGGAAGGGTGCATCTTACAATTGCTTGTCTCTTAATCTCCAGAAGGCAGTCAAACCCCAGCACTCACAGAGTACATATCCCCTAAGGTCTTGGCCTTCACCACCAGGCACACACGTGCTGTCCTCACAGAGACCTGGGTCTCTGTACATCCATATTCCTGGCCCTGTTTTTCCACCTGCAAAATCATTGATAGAGTCTGTCCCATGATACTTTTCAACTCTGACATATTTTAAGAGCTCATCTGGCACACAAGGTATTAACAAGTGAGAGACAGGCATCTTTTCTATGAGAGAGTTCCATACAATGCAGCCCTTGGAGAGCCTAAGATGGCGTATATCCCACCACCCCCCATCCCCACCATGCCCTGCCACCCTGCTGGCTGATAGTATTGGTCCCTGTGTCGAGTGTAGATGCTAATGCATACACTGTTGCTGAAGGGAGAGGCCAGCCCAGATCAACCCAGAGACATAGCCCTTCTGTCCCATTCACCTCAGACACACAAACTCTCTCTCTCTCTCTCTCTCTCTCTCTCTCTCTCACACACACACACACACACACACACTCAACAGAGTTCAGGAGTGTGTGTGTGTGTGTGTGTGTGTGTGTGTGTGTGTGTGTGTGTGTGTTTGAAGCCAGACAAGAATCAGGATCTGAGGCTTGTACTTCAAGCTCGTGTTCTCCCTTGAACATGCATCTCATTTGCTTGTCTCTATTTTTTTTTTCTTTTTGGGTCACACCTAGCAATGCACAGGGGTCAGTCCTGGATTTGCATTCAGGAATTACTCCTGACGGTGCTCAGGGGACCACATGGGATGCTAGGAATCGAACTCAGGTCGGCCACGTGCAAGGCAAATGCCCTACCGCTGTACTATTGCTCCAGCCCCGAAACCTGTGTTCTTTCTTGAACACATTTCCCCTCTTTCTTTCCTCTCATATTTTTCTAAGCAGTTTCACTCAACAGAAACTACTTTGCTTCACTATTTTTTTAATCAGTATCTGAGACACAGAAAAGATAGAGATCATAAGAAAGCACTCGCCTGGGGACACCTCTGGGGCAAAGCCAGGCCTACTCCATACTCTGAGCTTCTGACCCTCACACACCAGTATGGGCAACAGAGATTGATCAGCAAATCCAGGCCCATATCTCTAGGGTGCAACATAACTCAACATAACTGAGAATTTTTAACATGGATGTGAGACTGTTTCCCAAATGCATATAGGGGAAGTTGCAGCTGGAGACAATAAAAGGAAATAAAAAGTATACATAATAGAAAGGAAAACAATAAAACTGTCTTTATTTACAGCATGATCATCCATGTAGAAAACAAAAAATATAAAATTTTTAAAATTACTCACTGGAACAACTGAGCACAGCAACATCACAGGAGATGAGATCAGTATACAAAAGCTCATTGCATTACTGCAGACCAGCAACAAAAAACTGGAATTTGAAAACTTCAGAACAATACCCAGGAGAATGTGGCAGACTGCATGCATGAGGGCAGGTGCTCCACCCCCAGCACTGCCTCTATCAAAGCTGAGTGCAATACTCTGCCGGTGAAACCCTCAGTGCTGCAACCAAGCATGTGTAACTCCAGTACACCACAATAAAACAAAAGGCCAGGGAACAGAAGAAGACCAAAACCATCTTAATTGCATTCCCTCCTCCCCCCACCCCCGCCAAAAATATCAAAGGAAGCACTTAGGTAAAACTCAAATGTATGTGAAGATTTCTGTGATTCAATGAATTACCTAAAATTCTTCCTGAGGGTAGGTGAGATGACTCAAAGGGCCAGTATGCATCTTTTGCACGCATGTTCATTCCCTGGCATGCCTGGTCTCCCAAACACCGCTGAGGAGTCAGTCCAGCATGTCCCATAAAAAAATTCTTCCTCAATTCAAAGTCATCTCACCCACCCTCAGGAAGAATTTTGGGCAATTTACTGAATGAATTTTTTGTTTCTTAACAACAGGTCTTTTTGGGGGTGGGGCTCGAGGACTATTCCTGGATCTTGCTCGGGGACATATGGACAGTGCCAAGGAATAAACCCAGGTCTTCTGCATGTGCGCAGCCCCAGTGAAATATCTCCCTGGTCCTCAACCAACAGATTCTTTCTGTTGTTGTTTCGGTTTGGTTTTTGTTTTTTTGCTTTGGGGGCCACACCCAACATGTTTGCGATTTACTCCTGGCTCTTTACTCAGGAATCACTCCTAGTAGTCTCAGGGGACCATATGGGGTGCCAGGGATTGAACCCAGCTCAGCTGATTGCAAGGCAAACACCCTACCGGCTATACTATCGCTCCTGCCCCTCAACCAACAGTTTCCAAAGGTATAAAACTAAACATATTCTACTAATACATTAATATCCCTGCAGTGCCCATCTCTTCCATTCCTACAACCCATATTATCCTTTTTGATAGCTGAGTTTGGGATGGTGGGCAGCAAGAGTTGAAATTGTGATGGGTTCCACTGCAGGTGATCTATTTGCTTTCTGGATTTGTATAGAGAAAAGTTTCTGGATATGACAACCTTCCCACTTATACAGTATATTCTCTACCTGAGCACCAAAGCCAGCACCTCTGCCAATGCCACTCGCACACAGCATGTGGGAGAGTCTGAGGAAAAGATGAGTGCTCCTCCCTCAGCACCCCAAGAGTTCTACCGCCCAGGCCACCCTGACCCTCCCCAGCCCATCAC